GGTATGGTCTTTATGAGTGGACATGACCCCGTTGCTGACAAAAACCCTTCTCGACTCAGCTTATCGACGAGATTCGGCATTCCGTGACAGCCCTCAAGACCCTCCCTGTAGAGGTGCGCTTACCCGCTCGTCATGTCTACTATGAGGGCATCCAGTATGCCTTCGCCGCCTCTACCACTTTCGCCGGAATCGCTCTCATCGCTGCACTTTTCGCAAGCCCGCGCGGTCTGCGTAGCACTCACAAGTAGAGTATTGCCTGGCTGAAGGGGCCGGCTGCAGCTTTGGTGCTCTGTTATATCGTAGGGTGGGACTATGTCGGCAGACGTTTGGGTTGAGAGTGTTGAAGCACAATGAGAGTTAGCAAACTATATCAGCTCTTCGCAAAATACCTTGTTCAAGAACTCAAAGCATACCATGAGGGACACTCAGACCGGTGTCGACTGAGAAGACATCTGATTAATGGCAACTCAGATACCCTCTAGTTCTAGCGTACGCAGATAACTTTGTGTGACACGCAGAATTGTCGATTCAATGAAAAGATTATGCCGGCTTCATTCTCTTGGAGATAAGGCAGCGGGGTAGGTCTGCTTATATTTCTCTGAAGGCACCTTTCGACAACTGTACATGCTGTTTTCTGGCTTGTCATTGGCATCATAGAAACCTCCGACGCGAGGTCTAACTTATCACCAGGCTGGCATATCAATTCAATTTGATTCGTTCGAGCTTGGCTATTGGTGCTCCTAGAATACTTTCTTACTTGCCCCCGTATTCGCGCTTATCTACTTGCTCCCCGTAGGATCTATGCCCTGGTCTCGTTCAATGTTGCACACAATATGCGCCACTTCCTTTCCCGTTCTACTTTTATCATTTTGCCATGACTCCTTTCCAGGCTCCGCCACCTGACTACACTTGGAACCCAAAGGGTCGCTTGCATAGAAAAGAACCCACATAATCACAACCGATAGACGATAGACGCCTAGCTGCCAGCCTGATCGACTTTCTGACTTGGGAAGTGCTATCGAGACGAATACAACCACTGCAAACTCTCAGTTGGCATGGCATGGCCATCTCAAGCCTTCCTCGATGGGTATGACTGGCACGACAGTCTCATTTGCAGTGCAACTTCAACACAGCATCCATATAAGTGAACAGTGACAATTTGCAATGGTGTAGCCACCCAAGACCACGTCTTGTGTGCCGTCAAATGTGGTGACCCGTTAGTGAAGCGAGGCTGTATCAAAGCCGGGCGCTGAGGTAAATCAATTTTCCAGTCGCACATGCAAGGCATGTCCCTACTTGATGCTGATCTGGACCGCAGCAAGGCACTGCAAAACCCAAAGAAGGAGGGGGGACTGCATCTCTTCCTGATAGTGCGCCCCCCATGTAATACTCTGTCACAGCCTGATGTCGAAGGTCGAAAAAGAGCGCAGAAGGAGCGACCCAAATCCATAAGTACGAGGCTCCAGCGACTATTACCGTCCCACTCCCTTACCTCGAGTTTCGGCATTGTGCTCGAGGATCCTGGACACCGGCAAGATGAACATCTTTTCGTTTCTTGTCGTGCTTAGCTTGGCACGGAATGCTTTCGCCGCCGATAATACCAACACAAAGTTCACATACCCCGTGAAACCGGCCGGTCTCCAAGGCCCCACGTTCGTATCAGGCCAGAATGTCGTCTTCAACTGGACGACAGATGCTGACAAGCTTAACTTGCTTCTGTGGACAAACCAGAACAACGACTCAATCACATTAGGAAGTCAGTCTGCTTGTATTGGTTTTGCTTGGCGTTTGACGTTAAAGACTAATTGAGCTATATATTTAGAGGGCATCTCGTCCAAGTCCTTCACTTGGACAGTAGACTTTTATGCCTTTTCGAAGACCGACCCGCCGAGCGACACCTACTATTTCCTTGGGCTTTTTGTTGATGGTTCGACGAGCAGTTCGGATCAATCTTCAAGATTCTTCATCACACTACCTGATGGGAGTGAATCCGGGTCCACTTCAACTTCAACACTCCTCACTCCTTCGCCAACTAGTGATTCGGCAAGCACAACTTCATCAGAAAGCTCTTCAGCAACGGCGGCAAGTGTTACTTCGACATCCGGGTCCAGTACTGAAGGTCTCGGCGCAGGTGCCATAGCTGGTATCGTTATCGGGGCTATTCTGGGAGTAGGCTTATCCGTTTGTGCAGGAATTCTACTGGCACGGAGGAGATACCGGGGGAATGGAGATCTTGGTGACCAAGGAAATAGCCAGGGAGAAATCCACGTTTCACCGAAGATCGCTGCGGACGCCAAATACCATTCTCCTCCTGTGCAAGAAGCACCCGGAGACGGGAACGTTTCTCGGTCACCGCCACCAGTTGAGCTTGGATAGAATTCACGCGAATACCAGAAGTCTTGCAGTCGGGTTCGCCATATGAACTTGGACATGGTATACCCAGCGCGCTCGACATTGCGAGTTGCTGAGGAACTCAGTAGTTATGGACTGGATTTTGCTTTTGCTTCGTTGATCATGGCGCATCGCGAAAGACGTCTGAATAATTTAGATATAACAAGATGTAGACGAACGCTTCCATTTATGGCAAATATTCAATTCCCTTCCTCGATGATTAGTAGAATGTGTTATCAGATTGAAACTCCCTTAGACAGGAGTTCAAGATGCTGACGATATGAGATTGGTTTATTCGCTCGGTTTCCTTGTCTAATAAAGCCAGCTACTGGCGCTGCCCCAAGTTCAAATTGACTCGGTAAGGAGTCAGATTGTAAACCTTAAGGTCCTTCGCTGCGACCGAGTCGCTCTGTTTCCACTCGGCGATTTCTGAAGTTTGCGACGCGAAGTGTAATAGCGGGCGGCATAGCATAACTGTGGGCAACCCGGTCGGCCGATCGGCCGACAAGACTGACTACGCGATCTGCTTGCTGGAAGCCGACAGATCCGATCGCAAAACATTCAGATTGCGCATTTCAAAACATAAATGTCACAATATTCGAGCTTCGTATGGCAATGAGGCTAATCAAAATCCCTCGCCGGATGACTCAAGTTGAACATTGTAGTTGAAGAGCGATGGCGGATACACGTCAAACTGGCCGAGAGGCCAAGCTTATAAGAACGGCGATGTAAACAGCGCATCTCCTTCTCGACCTCTGAATTGAATAACTACCTCAAAGCTTTCCCAGAAGACTACTTTTGTTTACTTGTGTTGGGAATTGAGCTTCTGAAATGTCCGAAAAGAAGATTCTCATACTGGGAAGCGGCCTGGTGGCCAAGCCATGTGTCGAATATCTGCTTCGCAATGAGAAGAACAAGTTGACAATAGGTATTCCATTCCGATTCCATTCGAAATCACTATAAGAGTTCACTAAAACTTCTGTAACAGCTTGCCGAACCCTTTCGACAGCCGAAAGTTTGGCTTCAAATTACCCTCGAGCCAGCGCTATTTCTCTGGATGTGGCATCTCCAGAGCTCGATAGCCATGTGGCATCTCATGACCTGGTGATTTCACTTGTCCCCTTCATTCATCACCAGAAGGTCATCGAAGCTGGCATACGTAGCAAAACTCACGTCGTGACCACGAGCTACGTGTCTCCGGCGATGAGGGAATTGGAATCTGAAGTTAAGGCTGCCGGGGTCACGGTTTTGAATGAAGTTGGCCTCGATCCTGGTAGGACATGATTCCTCACAGCACCAAAGATCATTAAACTCATGCATGAATCCCTAGGAATTGACCACCTCTACGCTATTCGTATCATTGACGAAGTCCATGGAAAGGGAGGAAAAGTACAAGCAGCCCGACTACATGCTCATGCACTACCCTTTTTCACCAGACTAACAATGCAAACGGCAGATTAAGGAATTCCATTCGTACGCCGGCGGCCTCCCGGCTCCAGAGTGCTCCAATAACCCCCTGCGCTTCAAATTCTCCTGGTCACCCCGAGGCTCGCTCCTTGCCCAGCTCAACCCGGCATCCTACCTCCAGAATGGTCAGGTCTTCGATGTTTCACGGGAAGATCTCATGAAGCAAGCCAAACCGTATCACGTGATGGAAGGATACTTGTTTCTCGCATATCCAAACCGGAACTCCGTCCCTTTTCGGGAGTTCTATAGGATCCCTGAAGCAGAGACGGTTGTGCGCGGGTCGCTGCGGTATGAAGGGAACCCGGCTTTCATGGCGGCGTTGACGAAGCTCGGATTGCTGGACACGCAGCCACTGACATGGTTGGAGAAGGATGATGCTGGTTTGATGTTGCGGGAGGTTTTCGGACGGGCTGTTGGTGCTACCGAGACTGATGAAGAGTAAGGCATACAAGCACACCTTCTTCTAATCCGGGCTGAAATACTGATGTGTCGAAAGGTCTTTGATTAGGCGCATTGATGAGATTTGCGTATTTCCGGACATCACTGAGAGAAACAGAATCATTGACGGCCTGCGATGGATCGGACTCTTTTCCGGCAAGCCGGCAACTCTCCGCGGCAATCTCCTAGACACACTGTGTGTGGAGCTCGAAAGGCTCATGAGCTATCAGCCCGGTGAGAGAGATCTGGTCATGCTCCAGCACAAGTTCATTGTTGAGTGGAAAGATGGTAGTAAAGTAAGCATGCACGCCGCAGCGCCCCCCTCCCCTCTAATTAAGTCAAAATCTGACGGTGACCCGCGCGGATAGGAGACAATCACATCGACACTGGAGCTCTTCGGAGAACCTGGTGGGCATTCAGCCATGGCCAGGACCGTAGGTGTTACCTGCGGTATTGCTACCCAGCTATTGCTGAACGGGGAACCTGCTTTGAATGTGCCGGGGGTGTTGGCGCCTTACACTTCAGAAATCTGTGACCCCATCCGCAAGTTGCTCGAGAAGGAGGGGATTAGCATGGTAGAAAAGACACTCTGATGAGTATGGGCGGGAGAGCCCCCCTTACGATCGAGATAGCTCCGTTAAACTGGTGTCACGCACCACATTTTGGTCGGAACACGTTCAATATTTCTTGCGCTTCATCTTGTGTTAGCTTTCGCCGAACCCAAACATCTTGACACTGTTTCTCCAAGCCGCGTCAGCAACCTCATCCACACTCAATCCCTTCAACCCTGCCACGACAAAAGCCACCCTATCCATAGTACAACTCTCATTCCTCCCCTTCACCATAAGCCCCAACTCGAACTTGTCCTTCTTCTTGCTCTGCGGCAAAGCCGACGCGTTACCAAGATACCTCTTCGCGATCTCCGAACCCGCCGGTATCTCACCCCACGGCGCATCCGTCTCGATTTGCAAGTGCTCCAGCGGGATATCACCCACCATCTCCAGGCTTTCCCTGACCTGAAAGCTGAAGCCGTTGACGCTGACGTCGAAGCCGAGCTCCACCAGGGTTCTCATCTGAGCCGAGGTGCCCACAAAGGAGTGTACCAGCCCGCGGCGGGGGAGATTAGAGAGGTATGGCTTGATGATCTCCACGAAGTCATCGTACGCAGAGCGGCAATGGAGAAACAGGGGCAAATCCAACTTTTCCTCAACAAACAGGTCCAACTGCCGCTTGAAAGTACGAATCTACGCTTCCTTGGACGCGTGGTTCAGGCGGTCATAGTCCAGCCCCAACTCGCCAAACGCAGCCAACGGCGATATGTTGCCTTCCGATGCGGAGCTCAACGTTTCGCGGACGACCTCCGCTAACTTTTTGAAATGACCTTCCTCGCCGCCATCCTCTTCAGCATCAGGCTCCGCGGCGTGATACGGATGGATGCCAATCGTTACGAAACACGTCCCAGCCGGCCGCGATCTGGCAATGGAGAGGTTCGTGGCCGCGTCGCTGAGGGACATGCCCGTGAGCATCACCTTGTCGACGCCCGCGGCCGAGGCGCGGTCGAGGACGGCGTCAAAGTCTGGCTGGTGGTATTGTTTGCCTCTGTAGAAGCCGGCGAAATCTTTTGCTGTTGCTGTTACTGCGACCTAGTGTTGGTGTGTGAGATTTAACTTGAAGTTTTGGTGTAGGTAGATAACAGTCGCATGTTTCGTGATGGGTACTTTGGGACTCGTGAACTTACATCTGCGAATCGAAGTTTGGTCTTGGGATTGGGAGGTGCGTTTGCCGGGAAGCCGGCAAGCAGGTCCGACGTCATAGTTTTGAGCGTTATAACTTATTGGAAAATTACAGGCTGAGTTGTGATCTATCCTGACTATATCAGAGGCTTCAATTGAGCGTGAAGTGATCCCTTTGATGTGTTTTGCTAGCCAGGAGGTGTTTGTCTTAGTCCCTCCTGGCATTCCCCCGTGTTCCCCCCGCTTCGGTGGGAGATAGGCTAGTGGATCCGATGGCTTGGCGGGGCCGGTCTCGGCCGGACCGGCTTTCGGCTCTGGACACTGGAACGAGTCACCTCCAGATGATGAGTATAAGCATTTTCCTAACTTCTGATTTGTTGGACTAGCCGTTGTTCTGGGTGTCTCTTTCACATCTTATTGTGATGGTTGTTTTGCTCTCTGTCGTGCAAGTTTCTCGTACTGTTTTTGAGTGATTCCCATAAGAAAAGTATGATTGTTGTAGCAGTTGAGATACTGTATCCGTATTCCACAACAAACTTTGATAGCTTCTAATGAAACAGTCAAGATACTGCGGCTAGGCTAAGAAGGAAGATGAGGTATTGAGCTCATGGAGCCCATTCCTCCTGCATACGTTGCTGCAACTTCATAGTGGCGCAATACTTCAAGATGTCAAAACTCAAGTAGTAGATATTTTCACCTCGCGTAGGACGGCACTCGAACCTGGCATCAAATAGAACATCCTGTCATGCAATGTATACATAGATCCCGCTTCAAGCCAATTCCTTCTCAAGCGCATCAGCCATCTCCCCCAACGTATCAAACTTCCAATCAAACACCTCGCGATCCCTATTCCCCATCACGGCCCCAGGCCTCACAATCCACGACGACTTGATACCAGCCTCCTCGGCCGGATGGTGATCATGGAACTGACTCTGCGCCGTCTGCAGCACCCGCTCCTTCTCGACCCCAAACCTCTCCTTCACCTCGCGCAGCATATACGTAAAGTTGCGCTGGTCGGGCTTATACGACCCCACATCCTGCGCCGTGACAATCAAATCAAACGGCACGCCCGCCAGCGGTCCCGCATTGCTGAGCGCAAACGAAGTCCGGTCGACGTTGGAGAGCACGACGAGCTTGTAGTACTTGCCCAGCCGGCGGAGGGCGTCGACCGTGTCCGGGAAAGCGGGCCAGGAGCCGACGGAGTCGCCAAAGGCCTTTGAGGCCTCCGCGGACGGTGGCGAGGATGTGAGGCCGAGTTTTGCGGCGATTTGGGGGTGGATTGTGGTGAGGAGCTGGGCGTAGGGGAGGTCTGGGGTTTTGGCCTGCTGCGCGGCTTCGCATTCGTGGTAGGTGTCTAGGAGGTGCTTGCGGGTGAAGTCTCCGGCGCGGTTGTTTGCTTCCAGGAGGGGTTGGAGGGCTGCCAGGGCGCCTGTTTCCCAGTCGATTAGGGTGCCGTAGACGTCAAAGGTTAGGACGCGGAAGTCTTTGAGGCTGGCCATGGTGAGATTGTTATTGGTATTGTTGTTGTTGAATGTGTTTCAGTCTCTTTGGGTGCAATTATGCGGGGTTAAATCTGATCGGCGGTGTTTAATCGATAAACAGGTACTGAACCAAGAAGGCAACTCTCTTTTAAAATTTGTTCAACAGATTTCACAGGCCGTCTATAAGTGCAGCTTGAAACACTATCGTTTACTGATCAGTCTTCCTCTATGAGTATGAAGCTATCGACAGGCGAGTTGCCTCCACCCCGCAAGGGCGCGCGATGTCATCATATCAGTCGGAACCTGGAGGACGAGGACGCGGCCCACCGCTCCGTCCGGATCGCAGTCCGGCCCGATTGGACGATGGCGTTGAGTGGAGTCGCGGCACCGGCCCGGTGACCGGATGTGACCGGCACCAGCCTGCCACCGTGTAAGACGGCTGGACTTAGGTAGACCTAGAGAACCGACTTCTTCGATTGCGCTGACTTGCGTGTTGCTGGTTCATGGGTGAAGAGATTACTGATAAAGGAGACTATGTAGCACTCCTGTGGCCTTTGGCACAAGGAGATCAAACGTGTCTAAAATCACATGTGAGAGCTGGTCGAATTACGACCGAGTTATCAAGAAACTCTAAGTTGTGGAATGTCCTATCACTGGTAATTCCGATCGGGTAATTTATTTGGTATCAGTATCGCAATGCGGTTTCTGCCTGCAATCCTTGAATTCGGCTTATGCCGGGGGGCGATTTTTAAGATGTGTGCTACGTTCAAGGTTCTTGCGACTTTATTCTAAAGCAATTTCACACGGCGACTGACAGTCAGCGACAGTGTTACTTACTTACATTAAACTTCGTGATTGAATGTAGCACTCACTCAAGCGCAGGAGCTCTGGTTAGCACCTCAGCCTCCAGATACCTGCGAGGTCGCAGGTTGCGCCGGGACGATTTTCCTTCATGTCCAGACACTCCTAGAGTTCGGAAACGAGATGAGTTTTTGCGTGTATGTGGAAAGAATGGACGTCGTCAAAAGATCGAGGAACCGACGAGGATTGGTGTCATTGCATCCCGCAAACTAATTATTTAAACGAGGTGCACACCACTTTGCTTGCACTCAAAGATCACACAGACCAACAGTCGAAGACGGACAAGCCCTTGCAAGTTGGACCCTGCGGCTCAACCAACCCACGGACATTGGGTTAATCTCGACGTCGCGCGAGCAAAAGTAAGGCTCATCGAGCTCAAGCTCTCAGGTCATGTGTAAGACTGTCTGATCAAAGCTGCATAGATACTATGAGCAGTTAGAAATATTTCTGAGCACTGCTCAACCTTGACTGACAGTCAACTGCAGCCTCGATGCCTGCAGACCCTGGTGCCTGTTTGGCGAGCACATCCAATTGTCCGGTCTGCGCGACGAGCCTCAACTTGAAAAATGCCTTGTGAATATGTCGAAAAGGGTCGCATCAACCTATTTGGGTGCTGCAGAGTGGATCTCCCGGCATGTCTTTGGCACGACGTCGCATTGTTCGGTGTGCCAATGCTATGCTGCCCGCATTATCGTATGATCGAGAAGAGCGAACACCAGCTCCTCGCCTTGTCGCCAGGCTCGCGTATGTTGAATTGGAGAGTCGTCTGGCACTACGGCTGATGGCCAACCCCTCTTCGTAGGATCCGGAGATCGACCATCCTGGGCAGGGAGACGACTTATAACGATCTTCGGGCTTATGCCATGCCCGGCCGGAAAGCCTCGTATTCGGCCGTCAAGCACTGGAAGGGCTCTCTAGTTTCCCGTTGACGCATTTTTGATACCGATAATGCTGGATAGTCTTACGATCGGGACGGTCGGAAGCTATGTGATTCGGTTGGAAAATCATCGTGCACACCACTTTACAGCAAATGGAAGGCTGTATTGTCGAAATGATGACTTGTTTATGATTACTGTTCACCGGCAGTTTCAGCGCCGACGAATCTGGTGTTGACGGCGACGATCGCAGCAGCCTTGCGTTCCAAAAATCCGGGACCAACAGAAAAGGGAAGGGTCCAGGGTTCATCTGGATCGTTGAAGAACTCGAGATCCTAGATATATAAGAAACCCTGGTCAGCAATGACTGGCAGACGCTCGCCATCCCCGCATGCTCGCCTCGAAGTCGCGAGCGGCGATCGACATGATCTGCACCGCTTGGCTGCCAGAAATCACCGACGCCTTACCTTACCCACCAGGGTTCATCCATGGAGGAAGCTGAATTTGCCAGGAAGCCACGAGGGTAGGTCCCATTTCAGCACGTCCGGAAACGAAGATGGCGATGAGATGGACCTGCAGAAACTGCAGCCTAGTCCCGTCACTGGATCTCGCAGCGAATTGATCCATAGTCGAGAAGTGACTGGCGAATGATAGCTAACGGAAACTCCATTCGAAAAAGGGCGCGCAGTAGAGAGAGAATCGAAAAACTCGATTAGGGTCGTTCCGACGCATATAGCGACTTCCGACGGTGATTCGTGGTTGCAGGTGGCGGGATTGTTGCGGGCGTGTGAGGCGAACCGTCATGGGGTTGCCGCCGTCCGCCTCACTTTGCCTATCTCCTGCAGGCTCACCACCCCCAACCTGTAAGGTGGAACACACCCAGATGGATGGGTTCCCACCCTGGTGAGAACCGACATTGCAAAGGCCGTATGTGGCGTCTGTCCTTGCATGCAGGCATTGTAGAGGCAGGTTCTGACGACTGAGAAGCCGAAGCGGTGAGGATACCGATCAGAGCTGTGCCGAAAAGGCAAGACAAAGTGCTCCTTTTGTCTTGCTTGGTGCAATAACATGCCTTGGGAACTCGTAATATCGACTCCGTTGCAGCGTAAGAGGATTGGCACCCCGAATCATCGCATTGTTGGCGAAGATAAATACCTTGTTCTTCCTCCTGGTCGCCAGTATCTCACGACGACTTGCGCCATCTTGCTCATCCAATGTGCTCGGGCAGACAGCTCATATTTTCCATGCCCAAGCATCTGCCATGCCTTCGTCAACAGAGATGAACAGATACTGGATTCCCCGGTTGGATATTCACAAGAAGATTATCACTCAAGAGCTTCCCTACTATCTCGGGCCAGATGCAACGGTCAGGCCGTACACAAATGAGGTGTGAATATCTCATTCACGATGACTGAGACGCCTCTCACAGCATCTACAGGGAGAAGATGGATTCCTCATCACCACTCCAGGCCCTTGCTTGACAGATGTGAGCTTGCCGCTTGGTTCTTTCCCCTATCTTGTGTTCTTCGATGGTGCAGAATTTGCTGATCATCGTCTCTGCATATAGGAGCAGATCGACGATATCTGTAGGAAGTCCAAAGAAATATGGGAGCGTCAGGCGGCCATTAGAGCCCAAGAAGCAGACAAACCCCTCAAAAGACCGTTGCATCAGCCGGTGGTGATATCCCGAGGGTCAAACGACTCGTCAAGAAGGAGACATGACGCACACCGAAGCCACGAGCGACATCGACGTTACGACGACCGGCGGCGGGAGTGAAGTCGGGTGGATCGGTGGAGTCGACTGTGTTGAATGAGATCTCGCATTGGGCCAAGTCTTTTTGGATCTAGGCATTTGAATTTCCAGGCGTTGCAGGCGGTCGGGTTAGCCCTTTCATGCATACGGAAGGAATTTGTGGGATTCGATGATTCGAGACATGCGCAAAAGGTCGCGTCTCTTGTGAGGGGGGTCGAGTTGTGTGGCCTGGTGGCCGCAGCAAACGGTGGACCCGACCGAACACTCGTTCTTTTGACTGGATGGGCGTCAGGCGAAACGAAGCAGTATTATAACCAGATTTTTGTTTGATTGGGACGAGAAGAGTATGTGTCCCGAAACCACCCAGCAGCAGTCTGCCATCTGGCATTTTTGGGGGGTCCAATGGTAACAGCAAAATTTCCGAGGTCCTTTACGCGCTGCTCCTTTTTGGTATGTGTATGCGGAATTGTTGCAAGAGGCGCGCATCAGAGTGCAGCGCCAGCGAATGCCATTAGCAGGCGTTCCCTCAACCAGATACCTAATTGGCGCGTGTTTGCTTTCCAGAATAGACAAGGTGCATTTAGACTGGACGAAATCGTCGCTGTAGGCTAGTAGCACATTCATGCGGGCCGAGAATGTTTGTTCAATGGAAACCTTTGACAGGATGGCGTGGCTGACATGATGCTCGGATCGTGCTCGGTTGCCAATGCTGAGAGAAAAGCCCATCTTCAGTCCATATGTAAGATCTCTTATCCATACCTGTTGGTTCGTGGCATGCGTGACGAATTGGACGAGGCACGGGAGCCTGGTTGCGGTAGTGAGCATGACACGTCTGCCTACATTGTTACCGAGGCCAATGTCCGCTTCCTCTCAGGTCAGGCGGCAGCTTATGGTAGTAGATGGTGTGCCTCGTCTTCCCCAGCGGGTGGCATGGATTCATCTAGACTCAACTTGAAGTCGTTGCGAAGGAAGCTTCGTATCGCTGTAGGTTGAGAGGGCCAGCGGACCAGAGCATGAGTGCCTGGACGGCGGCTATACGTGGTTCATGGCTCGTCCCTTTGGCCCGTGTTCCCGGGGGAGCGGGCGTGAGATAGCCAACCACATTCACCCACTCGCCGATGCGTGTCTGGTTTGAAGTCATGGTACTGAGTAAGAGTTGAACGTCAACCAATACACTGATATCGGATCCTTTGGGGAAGCTGTGCTCGAGCGTGAGCACAGCTGAGTGCGTCGAGTACGCAGTTACACTGATGGCAATTAGTATGGTTACCAACAGACGACTTTTGACATAGGACGAGAGCGAATCATCGATCAAAGTAAGCAGTAGGCGAAAAGTATCAAAACTTACCACCCGAGAAATCTGACCTTATCGCCCTGTGGTCGAGCCGGCAAGTCTGACAGGAGACAAAGCTGAGAAGGCAGCGGGCCTCTAGACATGGCTTAGGTGATTGTTAGTTGCTCAGGACTCAAACAACATGCATCACTGCTTGGCCAAGTCGAAGGTAAGTTCCAGTCAGGTGGCGCGTGAAGTGATTTAGACAACGATCATCTGAGGCTGCCGGGTAAGGTAGTGTATGTCTGAGGGACGTTATGCGTAAAATCAACTTTGTAGTTTATCCCGGCTACCTATCTGTATGATATAAAGGTAGGTACGAAGTACTCACAGAGGAGGAGTGGTGAATGGTGACAGCTGCTGGCGCCTGCAATTTTGGTCACTGGGGCGCGTGCATTCTGAGGTACTTATCGGTGATAAGATATGTCTTATCTGGATCAACCTTGGAAGTCACCACCAAAGAGGCCTGTCACGCGGGCGTCTCACATGATCGGCTGAACCGCGGCTAAATCAGGCGGCAGCACTGTTGCTGGGCACAACCGCCGTCATCGCTTGCCCACTAAACGGCGTCGCTGAACCAGTCGGGAGCTTGCATCATACCTACCTACCTACTACCTGCTTGACTCTATCTATCAGCCTTCCAACTATCAACTTGGCGACAACTTGACTTGAGCGAGCCGCGGGTGTTCGTCGCATGATATAGAAATCACTGGCAACTCCGCCTATCAGTACGCCTTCGCTAATTTTGCAGGTCGTTGACGACGACGAGTGCCCGCTTGTTTCCCCGTTTCGGTACCCCGCCATCAAACTTCGGTCGAGTGCCACGCAACCCCGGAATACGGCTGCCTTCGAACGATCGCTGCCTGCGCACAACCTCATAAACAACCGGAATCCATTCGATCTACTCGACTCATACTAGCAACCCCAAAACTTCAACACATCTGATCATGTCTGGCGTCTGGGGCTGGTTTGGCGGTGGCGGTGGCGCCAAGAAGAAGAATGATGCCAAAGATGCAATCCTCGGCCTTAGGGTCCAGCTTGATATGCTGCAAAAGAGAGAGAAGCATCTTCAAACGTTGATGGACGAACAAGATACTATTGCAAGGAAGAATGTCAACACAAACAAGAACGGTAACTTATCTGAGCAATCGAGATTACGGGGAGACTAGATGCTGACGGGATATCGTGATAGCCGCAAAGGCTGCCTTGCGTCGCAAGAAGGGCCACGAACACAGCCTCGAACAGACTATTTCTCAAATCACGACACTCGAGTCCCAAATCAACGCTATCGAGTCGGCGAATATCAACCGCGAGACGCTGTTGGCGATGGAGAAGGCTGGCCAGGCCATGAAGGGTATTCACGGCAAGCTGACCGTGGACAAGGTGGACCAAACAATGTACGTTTCGAAGTTTGTAAGCCAGTGCGAAAGACGTTTGCTGACTACGAAAACAGGGAGGATCTCCGCGAACAGAATGCGCTTAGCGAGGAAATCGTCAACGCTATCACAACGGGCCAGACCGATAACATCATCGACGAGGACCTGGAGGATGAGCTGGATCAAATGCAGCAGGAGGCTTTGGACGAGCAAATGGTGGGCACTGGCACGGTACCTGTGTCAGACCGCGTTCACCAGATGCCTGCCGCCGCGAACGGACCAAGTAAGGAGATCCCGCCTTCCGAGATCATGATAAGAGTAATGTACTGACGTGATAATGTAGTCAAAGGCAAGGCGCAAGCTGTCGAAGAGGACGACGAAGAGGCCGAGCTGCGCAAGCTGCAGGCGGAGATGGCCATGTAAAGGAGTCAGGTGTGAGGCGATCCTGTGGGGATGGCCGAGAACGATGGCATAGCATTCCTGGTTCGGGATGGAGCTTCTAGAGGCTTTGCATGAGAATTGCGGCGCGACGGGATAAGCAGGTCGAACAACACAGCTGCCCAGAGAAGTGGATACCGTACGACACACTCGATATACACGAACATGCTCACCACCAACGACGGATACGACTCCGAAGCGGCCCTCGTTCACATGTTTCTCAGCTACCTGCCCCTCTTTCTCAGACCTGTCTACTGGCGTTGGCGTTTTGGGTTACGTGGGTGCCATTCGATAGGAATCTCGCGGTTGCGGAGGCTGATGGGAGGGAGTTTGACAAGCTTTTCTGGTTTGCTGGAGTGGCACTTTTTACAGTCTACGAGTACTACGCACACCTCACTTTTTTCATAGAAGACATATTGATTGTTGTTGAGAAGCTATTGCAGCGCTGGCGTCAGTTCCTTTGCCGGACAGGATAAGATACTTGAGGGCTAATGCATCGGAAGCGCTGCCGCGTTGGAGCGATGTCTAGTCCGGTGAGCAGACGGGCGAGAAGCGGGCGAGACATGCTGTCGCCGGCCCACCGGCAGTGTCAAGTTCGCTGTCTCAAAGAGGTCCCCACCGGACCGGGACCGGGGGACAGGAGCCATTCCTCACGTGTCTCGGCACACCGCCAGTCGCCAGGAGTGACCGATCGCGAGCCGGAGTACTTGTGGCCCACGATCACTCTGCCCTCCGTGACACTGTTACGGACCTGCTGTGTTGAGGTAGGTGACGGGTGTCGATTCTGCGGAGTACTCGGCTGCCTCTTTCCGACTCATGTAATTCTATGGATCCTTGATGTGAATCCGGGACCTTATCATTGTGATCACGATGTGGGCTGGATCATCGGAAGAGGTCAAATGAGGCTTTCTTACACGATCAATGCAAGCTCGGTCACCGGGCACCAGAGCCTTCTATGGTGTCTTGCGGATGGAGGCACCAGAAATTTAGGGCGGTTGGGCTGCCAGGAGAGGCTTCGAAGGCCCAGCACAATGAGAACATAGAGGGCTGGAAGAGTGGGTTTTTTTCGAGATGCTTTGAAAGTATTTTCCATCACCATCTTGGTTAATTTTCCTACAATATTGGGCTGTGACGGGGAAACCGATACATTCTTCTTATCGAGTCCCACATACGCGGCTTATTTGAGCACTTATGGACAGGCTTCTCAACTTTTTTTTTTGAGAGCCAAACCTTGGAATGCGCCAACTCAAAGGGTCAAGCCTCAAGGTCGGTCGTTGCTTGTTCGGGTTCTACCAGGGTGCTGGGGCTTACCCAAGTGCCCAAGTGGGCTCGTGAGGTATCAACGGCCAGGGCAGGCACTGTAAAGTTGCAGGTGTTGGCGCCTGCCACATGCTACACCGAAATTCCCAGCGGTGAGGGCAGGCACGTTAGTGACTTTTATGAGTGTAGCAACGTCTTTCCCAACACGCTGGCTGTGACGTGACAGCGACCAATGCTTCCTTCCCGAAGAAAGTGAAACCATCTTCCTGGCAAAAGCTCGGGTCAGGGTCAGGAGTCAGGACTGCCAACTCAATTTCTTCCCTTGGCCTTCCCTCTTCCGCCTCCCTGCAAACATTTTCATGGATGGGTCTTCTTTCGCATAAACAACAAAACAATCGACGATGAGCCTTATCCACCGCCATTGAGCGCCCGTTGTGACAGTCCACGACATCGATCAACAGCTGGTTCAATTCGCGATCATGTACCCGACGATTACTTGACCTTCCTGGTAATATCAGTGTACGTATCAGCCTCGGAATCGCGATGGCTTCCCTCGCAACCTCGATGCTTCCCCAGCCCAGATGCTACCAACTCATTCTCTCCATCGGTCACCAGTCTTCGATCATCGGTCCTCAGGTCCGCCCAATACCACCAGCCATGCTGCCTGCCGCCTTCTCAGCGCCCAACCGCCGACTCGTGTACGGCCCCATTGATTCTTTCTCTTATGCCCAGTGGCATGTAGTCGGACCAAGTCGGGTTCTTGCAGGGCACCAATCGCACCGACGCCATCGTTGCGGCACACAACCTTTGTACGCATCTCCTCGGGCTAGACTGGGCTACTGCACCTCTCAGACACTGACCTCGGGAGGAGCCATGCCATCCCGTCCCATCCCATATCGACGTCGGCCCAACCTCCGCCCACCTCACCAACTCACTCTCACCAAAATTTTCGCCCGAACACTCCATTCGGCGGTTACATTAGACGGCACAGCAAGTCGTTCCACGGAAGACGCTTTGCTGACAGGACATGGTCATCACGGCATTGTATTCCTCGAATTTGCACGCCCACGTTTCTCTCTACTTCCTCGCACACAACCGAAGAATACAGCCCGTTGCAAGCCGTCGCCCAATCCAAACCCACCACCCTTCTGCTGGTGCCACTGTCACTGTCACTGCAGTCACATCCGCCCCTCCCGCCAGCCGTGGTCCGGGCCTCTACTGCATGGATCTTCACAGACGAGCCTCACCCAGGCGAGCCACGTTGCACCTCGCTGACCGGGGGTTTAATGGCCGATGAGAAACAAACCGCGCTCGCCTCCAACCCCCACCATTGACATGCCAGCCGCCGTTGAGCGTCTATCGAAGGAAAGTGCCAGTCAGCAAGTGGCCGTGTGCACAATCATAACGGTCTCTCAACGCCGTCTAACTACTTCTAGCCAAACCGCGGCTTCTCCCTTGTCCACCCTCCGTCTCTTCGAATATCACGAATGACGGGAAGAAGGTTGGGTTTAACCTCCACCATGTTCCAGGAACCACCTTTCCGTCGGCAATCGTTTCCTTATGTCTCGCCAGGCGCGATGAGGACCTATGCATACAAGGATATGCCTGGCCCTAGTGGACCGGCCCATCGACCTACCCTGCTCCGGCTGCCCGATGCGTGCGAGTGCACTGGGCCGGAAATCGACGACCAGCGCAGCACAGCAATTATTAGCTCATAGCCGCTGAGTGGAGGGGATGCTTGACATTTGACACTTCATCGAACCCAAAAAATTCCCTCGTCCTCAGAAGAGTCTGGGAGAGCCTAAGCCCTTTCGAGCCCTTTTCAGGCCAAGTACGAACACATTTGACCTCCTCAATATTATCCATCCATTGTCGCCTTATGAAGATCATTGGTGGACAGGCACTGCGCCATGTTGTTTTGTGGTCTTTCGGTCTATTCCAATGCCTCACCGCAAAGACTGCCCCGTAGGCTTCTTTTGCCCATGGCATCCGTAATGATGTTGGCTTCTACAGATGAAAGTCAAGCGACGGTACTCATCCGATAGAATCAATGGACTTCAACGGTACGGCGGTAGCGGTATGTCATCTTGAGACTTAGGTACGGCCCTATGAGACTACGAAAAGGGATAAGACCACAAAAAGTCAACCACATATCCCGGGAAAAAAATCACCGACGTTCATGCCCGGCCTCGTTGAGCCCGTCTCATCATGCGGGTTGGCCGCTCGCTTCCAATCGAATCGTCGTTGGGCAGCCATCAACCCTCCTCCTTGTCTCCTTGTCCGTCTGATGTCCCAGGTCCAATTCTGTTCCTCTGCCTCGCCTCTTGTCACATCATTTATCACATCACTCAAGCTCCCGAATCCCAGAAACCGCACTCCCAAGTCCGACCCAATTGCGACGTGGCGCCAGTGCTTGTTCCGCCTCACTTGAGCCAATGGCCCTCAAGCACGCACGACAGTGATCACTTGGACTCTGAGACTGCCAGAATTTGTCTCCATTCGTGGGGACAGCGTGGGGTGGCCTGCGTCAGGGACCCCTTACTCCCGCACCTTGAACCCTGCTACAGACTAGTGATGCTTGTGATGTTTGGCACTGCTGGGAAAGCTCCCCCCTGCTTCTCGAGAATCTGCTTTTCTTCCCACAGCTTAGCCCAATTGTGTCCTCCTGGGATGGTCGTAGTCGGGACGCATCTCGTCACTCTTGGTCCCTTATTTCTCAACTCTATTCAGTGTCAAGCCGAGACAAGAAACCTGTTGCTTCCTTGTCATAATTGCCCATTGCACTTTTGTCTGTTGTTTACACCACAACACGGTCTCACAGGCGACAAGATACCTCACAATACATCCTTTTGAGTCTCGCGATACCAGCCCAAGAGACTCGAACTTCTTACTCCGGCTTGGGCACCGCACAATCACAAGAAAATCGAGAACTTGTCAAGAAAATAACTCCCAATCTCATCTCTCGCCAACGAAAGCCGTCCACGTGTGCCAACGACAACATCAGACCATCTCCCCGGATCAGCATTGATCACCTTTTGCGAAACAAGGACCCCCATAATCCACGAGTCCCGGAAGCATGAATTCGGAAGAACCAGTCGATTTCTGCCCCTACCGGCAGAACCCATGGAGCCACGTCCAAACCCAAGACTTCTCCAACGTCCAGTATTTCCAACCTTCAGATTCAGAGCTGGAAAATGGTAAGTCACGTTAGATTGCGCTTTGAGTATTGCATTAGCACGCCTAACCCCTTCATCTTACAGACGGCGACGTATATGCCAATGGCGTGACGTATCCCTCACAACCTGCACAGGCCAGCAGCAGCAGTAAAAAGAGCAAGAAGAAGGCAAAGAAGGACAAGAAGGCAGCACAATACACCTATGACGAGCCACCGGCTGTCGCCCCTGAGCTTCCCACGCCTGAACCGCCTCAAGACAACGGCATAGCTGAAGACGAGTGGCCGACACCCTCAAAAAAGGACAAGAAGAAGAAGAAGAAGGGCAAAAAGGAGGATATCGTTGCACCTCCGCCACCTCCGCCTCCGCCACTCGTAGAAGCCGAGCCCGAACAGGAACCTGAGCTTGAACCTGAGCCCGAGCCCGAGCCTACGCCTGAACCGATAAAAGAGAAACATATCGTCGCAGAGGAGGCACCCGTGTCTCCGACGAAGACGAAGGAATCCTCCAAAAAGGACAAGGAAAAGGACAAGAAGAAAGAAAAGAAGAAGAAAAAGAAGGGCAAGGGCGGAAAAGACGCCGAACCAGAGCCGGCCGAGAGCTCAAGATCGATCCCCCCTCCGCCGCTGCCACCCCCAGCAGAGGACGCCAAGCCGCCAAAGATGGAGGACGCCCCAGCTCCGCCTCCGGAGGCCACCATTGAGGCCAAGGAGGAGCTGCCGACCGTCGAAGCTGAACTTGAGCCGGCTGCTGACCGAAGCCTGGATGACGCCAAGGTCGATGACACGGTAGCGATGGAAATATCGCCAGACGCTGCTGAAGCCATTGTAGAGGCGACGGAGTCGGCGGTTGTAGATCCAGCTCCCGCCGAAGCTCCCATCGAGGCTCCTGCCGAAACTCCTGCGGAAGCTTTTGTTGAAGCTGCAACAGAAGACAGCCAAGATAATGCAGCTGATGCATCAGCAGAAGTGGCCCCCGAGGCAACAGAGGCTGCACCTGAAGCTCCCACTGAGGATGTTGCAACTGAAGAGCCCACAACAGTCCAAGCAGAGCCTATCGCAGCGGAACCTCAGACCGAAGACGCACCACCCGCCGAAGCTGTTCCCGAGGCTTCTGAGGCACAGGCTGAAGCCGAAGCTGACAAGGAAGCGGACGGCGAGCCTGGAGACGCAACTCCTGCCGATACAACTGCTGATGCAGTCCCCGGAACAACCGCAGAGACACCAGCAGAGGGAAAGTCCGAAGAGTCCGCACCTGCTCCAGAGGATGCTGCACCTGTTACCGACGAAGTCAAGCCCGAGGAGTTCATAGTCTCAGAGTCGACTCCCAACGCGCCCGCTGATGTAGAGCCTGAGACTGTTGCACCAGCAGAGGAGCCCGCCAGTGAACCTTCAGCTGAGCCCGTATTGGACGAGACTGTACCTATCGCGGATGCTGCGGCTGATGCCACAGTCGAAGCTGAGTCGGGAGACGCTGCTCCCGTCGAGGAGAAAGATGCTGATGAGGCTCCTGCTGAGTCAAAACCTGACGATTCCGCGCCAGCTCCGGAAGAGACTGCAGCTACTGAAGAGCCAGCTACTGAGGCTCCAGCTGGAGATAAGCCGAATGATGCTGCTCCTGCGGATAAGCCCGTTACCGAGACTCCCGAAGAGCTGAAGCCAGAAGATGCTGCCTCTGCAGAGCCTGCGGCCGAAGCCCCCGTTGACGCCGAACCTGCTGCCGATGCCGCAGAGGAGGTTAAGCCTGATGACGCTGCCGCTGCAGACGAGCCTGCTGCCGATGCTTCTGCCGATGCTCCGGTTGATGCCCCGGTTGACACCGCAGCTGAAGAGTCCGCACCTGCGGAAGAACCTGCTGCTGCCGATGTCAAGCCTGAGGATCCCGCCCCCGAGGAGGCACATGTAGAGGCTTCGCCTGAGGAGTCCCCTGCTCCTGCTGCCCCTGCGGCCGAAGAAACTCCCGAGGCCAAGACTGAGGATGCTCCTTCTTCCGAGGAACCGGCTGCCGAACCCGTTGCCGAAGCATCTAATGAATCAGCTCTAGCTGAGCCCTCAGCCGAGCCTTCGGTTGAGGCAGTGGAAGAAGCGACATCCGAGGAGCCAACGCCGGAAGAAACATCGACGGCTGCAACTACTGAGACGGAGGCATCTTCAGCTCCTTCTCAGGCTACACCTGAGGTCGCCAAAGAAGCTGAGACAGCCGATCCTGGACCGGCTGAGGCAAACACCGCCGAAGCTACGGCTGCCGAAGAGGCGGTGCCGCCAGCAGAGGCCCCCGTTGAAGCTACGGTCGAAATGACAGCCGTAGAAGATGCAACCGATGCCGCAGTCGCCGAGACAGATGCCCCCGCGGATGATGCTGCGAAGCCCGAAGAAGCCGAAGCAGCTCCCGCTGCCTCAGAGGAAGCACCAGTACCTGATGCTCCGGCTGACGCACCCGAGCCTGCAGAGGTTCCGACTGAGACACCTGATGCTCCAGCTGAAGCAGCTGAAGGCGAAGAATCTTCCCCGGCTGAGCCGGCCGAGGTCAAGGAAGACGCAGCACCTGCTGTGGCCGAATCTGCGGCTATCCCAGAAGATGCAACAACCACTGATGCAGCTGCTGAAGAGCCAAAGTCTGACGACACCACCGCGGATGCAGATCCAGCAGCACCACAAGAAGAGACTGCGCCGACTAGCGAAGATGCGCCAGCTTCTGCTGATGCTGATGACAATCCCGTTGAGCCAGCCAATGCGACCGAGCCTGCCGAAGAGCAGCCTGCCGCTGCAGACAAGGAAGCCGACTCGGCAACTCAGCCGGCAGAGACCGAGGCCGAGCCTCCGGTCGCTGATGTGGCCGAGGCATCAGTCGAAGCAGCCGCTGATCCTGCAGGCGCTCCTGAGCCTGCCGTTGAGACAGCAAAGGCTGACGATGCCGAGCCTCCTAAGGAGTCTGATTCCGCAGTTGACACCGAAGCCTCCAAAGAGGTTGAAGCTGAGCCTTCGAAGGAGGTTGCAGAGAGCGCCGAACCTCCCAAAGGGTCAGAGCCCGAGGCCGCGGATGATGCCCCGTCCGATGCTCCGGAGACGGCCGAGACAGCCGCCGAAGAGACAAAAGAGCCTGAATCGGAACCTGCCCAGGAGGAGGAATCTCCCGCTCCCAAGGAAGAGGAGGGTCCTCCTGCAGAAGCCGAAGCGGAGGCTGTCAAGGTTAAAGAAGCTGAAGTTGCAGACTTTGAACCAGACGCTTCTGAGTCAGTTGAGGCTGAAGCTGAAGCTGAGGCCCCTAAGGAGGCAGGGGTTGAAGCTGCCGCTGAAGCTGCAGCAGAGAACGCTGCTGTAGATGAGCCTGCCGCGGCTCCTGAGGTTGATGCTCCGGAGGAGCCTGTTGCCGAAACTGCGGCAGAGGTTGAGGCTCCTACTGACGCGGCCCCTGAAAGTGTTTCTGAGAGCACTGCTGAAGTCGTTCCCGAGACTACTCCCGAGGATGCTCCTGAAGTCACTCCCGAGGTTGCTCCCGAGGCTGCTCCAGAGGTCGAAACCGAGACAGCGACAGCTGCAGTTGAAGCTGATGCTACCAAGGACGCCGAAACTGAGGCTGTAGTTGAGCCTGACACTGCTCCTGAGACTATACCAGTGGAAGCTGAGCCAGACGCAGCCGAGCCCGAGGCACCAAAAGAGGACGAAGCTGCCGCCACACCAGAGGATACCCCAGAGGATGCTCCAGAAGCCCCCAAGGAAGCCGATGTAGAGACTGCAGACGCTGCCGGGGATGCCGCCACCACGGACGACGCAGTTGTCTCAACTGAAGGTATGGACGGATACGAAATCATCAGTGACGGCAAAGAATTCAGTTTCACCGTGGACATTCTCTCCCCAGGGACCAAGGATACTAAAAAAGAAACAGAACCTGCCGCTGAAGCCGAAGCCACGGCCGAAGATGCCAAGGCCGGAGAGGCAATTTCCGATCCCGCCCCGGAGGAGCCGATTACCGCTGCTGCCGAAGTGGAGACAGAGCCAGAAGCTCCCGATGAGACCTCAGCCGAACCGCCCGCCGATGCTGCTGAGCCCGAAACCAATCCTGAGGAGCCCAAAGCTGAAGCTACCGAGACGGAAATCGCACCTGAGCCTGAGACCACCGCAGAGACTGCAGTCGTGGAGCCAGAGGCAGCTGCCGCTGCTGAGGATCCCAAGCCGGAGCCCGCTGCTGAGGCAGAATCGGAGTCGACTCCCGAGACTAATGACGAAGTCCCATCTGCGGACCCGGCCCCGGATGCCATGGAGCCCGAACCGGAGACGACTCCGGATGCACAAGAACCAGAGCCGTCAACTGAGGAAGCTCCAGAGCCCGAGGCCGCGGCCGCCACCGAGACCTCTGCCCCAGCCCCAGAAGAACCTGTTCCGGAGAAGGCTGCAGAGACGGCTGAAGATGCTGGTGAGGCGCCTTCTGAGGCTGATGCTGCTGCTGCTGCTGCTGCTGCTGCTACTCCCGAGCCTGAGGTTCAACCTGAAGACTCCGCCGCGGCTGAGGTCGAGGAGCCTGCGCCCGAAGCAGCTGCTCCCGCGGATGACAACGAACCAGCCGCCAAGGTCGAGGGTGATGCTGAGGTTAAGGATCCTGAGCCTGAAGCGCCAGCAGCAGAGCCTGAAGTCGAGGCGGCACCAGCTGAGGCAGCACCTGCGGCCGAGGAGACCAAAGAGCCCGAAGCAGAAGCTGTCCCTGAAGCTTCCTCTGAGGTGAAGGAGGTCGATCCTGCTGCCGAGCCTACCCTCGAAGCTGAACCCGCTGCTGAGGCTGAACCCGCTGCTGAGGCTGAACCCGCTGCTGAAGCTGAACCAGCTGCTGAAGCAGAGCCTGCCGCTGAATCTAAAGACGAGCCCGAGGCCGACGTGCCCGCTGTTGCTGAGCCAGAGGAGGCAGCGCCTGTTCCGGAGACTGCGGCTGATGAAGTCAAGGAGGCTGATCTTGAGCCTGCCGCTGAGCCTACCGCTGAGCCTGCTGCTGAGCCTGTCGCTGAGCCTGTCGCTGAGCCTGCGGCGGAATCCGCTGCGGAAGCTGAGCCAGCTTCTGATGTTAAAGTGGCAGAACCCGAGACTGATGCTGTCACTGAAGTAGACGTTAAGGAACCTGAGGGCGAGGCTGCGGCTGAGCCTGATGCCGCTGCTGAACCCGACGCTGCTCCTGAGCTCGACGCTGCTCCTGAAGCAGAGGCTACTCCTGAAGCGGAGGCGGCTATCGAAAATCAGGAGCCCGCACCTGGGCTTCCTGCTGAGGCAGCGGCTGAGGAATCCGAGTCTGCTCCTGCTCCCCCTATCGAAGAAGCTGAAGCACCCGAAGCTAAGGTCGAAGTGGCAGAAGCCAAAGAAGCAGAGCCCGCGGCTGAGGCGGAACCTACTACAGAGGCGGAGCCTGCTGCAGACGCCGTTAATCCTGCTCCTGCTCCTGAGTCAAATGAGCCTGAACCTGAATCGGAGCCTACTCCGGCCGATGCTGCTCCTGCTGAAGAAGCAGCCGCCGTTACGGACGCGGTCCCAGAGCCGGAGGCGCCAGCAGCGACCGAAGAAGCCAAAGAACCCGAAGCCGCTGCTGTAGAAGTTGCCACAGCAGAAGTCAACGATCCTGAGCCCCAGACCGAGGCTGTCGAGGAGGCGGAGGATGCTGCCGCTGAGCCGCCTGCCGTCCCAATTGAGGCCGCTCCGGAGACCGAAGAAGCTCTACCCGATCCGCCCGCTGCGGTGGAGGAACCTGCCGAGGCGGAGCCTGCACCCGAAGTCAAGGAGGCGGAGCCAGAACCGGCGTCTGAGCCAGCTTCGGAAGAGACTAAGAAGCCTGAGCTCGCCGAAGCTCTCGCGGAGGCGAATCACGCTGCCGCAGTTGAAGAAACGCCGGCACCGGAAGCCGAGCCTGCTCAGGAGACCGAGACCCCCGAAGCAGATGCCGCGGCTGAACCGGTTGAAGAGTCTACGCCTGCCGAGAAACCTGCCTCGACGGAAGATCCTGCGCCTGCACCAGTTGAGCCAGAGGCACCAGTTGAGCCAGAGGCACCAGTTGAGCCAGAGGCACCAGTTGAGCCAGAAGCGCCCGCTGAGCCAGAGAAGCCTGAAGAAGCAGCTGTTGAAGCTCCTGCCCCGGCCGAAGATTCTGCACCAGCGGAAGAACCCGTATCAACCGAGGAACCAGCGGTGGCTGAGGAGCCTGCTCCCGCTGAAGAACCCGCTCCTGTTGATACAGAAGCGCCCGCGGAGCCGCAAGCAGCGGCAGAAGCTGCTGTTGAAGAATCTGCGCCGATTGAGGAGCCTGTTCCTGCTGAGCCAGAGGAGCCTGCTGAGGCAGCTGTTGAGTCTGCTCCGGTTGAAGATGCGGCTGCTGCTGAACCGGAGCCACCAGTCGAAGAGCCTGCCCCTGCCGCGCCAGAGCCACCTGTCGAGGCAGATGTCGAGGCACCCGCAACGGCTGAAACCGAAGACCACACAGCAGAAGTCGCAGCGGCTGCGGTGGCGGCGGCGGCAGTAGCCACGGGAGCGGCGGTGGCGGTGGCAGCAGATGGTAAACAGACGCGGTCTTTGGATGCTGAGGAAAGCAAGGATAGGGTGGGACCAATTGCCTCTGATGCGAGAGAGGCAGAGAAATCAGGTGAGAATTCCCCTCCTTCCCCTAATCCCGATTCCCCCGATGGAGAGGCACGGGAAGGACAGGAAGGCCAAGATCCCGAGGACGTCGAACCGGAACCCGTCGCGGAGCCTGCCGAGGACAACGCCCCGGAGCCGGAATCCATGGAACCTGTCGAAGAGAACGAGACTGCGATGACTGCCGAAGCTGCCGAAGGAGACGCCCCGGAAGAGCCAACTGCCGAGATTCAGGAGAGCCAAGATGCGGTCGGCGAAGAGCCTACTGTTGAGGAAGCTGCCCTACCACCCTCAGACGAGCTACCATCTGTCGAGGAGCCTTCTGTCGAAGAGATCGAATCACCAGATCAAGACAACGCTGAAGTCGCCACAGGCGAAACGCCCACTGAGCAGCCTTTAGAGGAACCAGCCCTCGAAGACACCACTGTCGAGGCTGAACCCACTGAACCAGCATCGGACGAACCAGCTCCCGCAGAAGAGGCAGCTCCAGCCGAACCTGCTTCCGACGAGACCATCTTGACTGAGTCTCCGCCAGAGGAGGCAGTCGCCGAGGAACCTACTCCAGAAGGAGCTTCACCCGAAGAGCCTGTAGCTACAGTAGAAGAATCGGCCGTGGAGGAGCCAACTCCTGAGGAGGCTCCTGCATCTGAGACTGCTCCCGAGACAACAGCAGAGGAGCCCGAGCAAGTCGAAGATGCATCCACAGAGATCGCCGCCGCTTCCGAAGAGGTTCCAGCAGATGCAGTGCCCGAGGAGTCAGCAGCTGAAGAAGCTCCACCAGAAGAGCCAGACCAAACGCTAGAGACTCCAGCTGAATCTGCACCTGAAGGGGCCATCTCGGAGGAGCCCGTTGCTGAGCCCGCCGATGAGCCCGCCGATGAGCCCGCCGATGAGCCTGCCGATGAGCCCGCTGATGCGCCTGCACCAGAAGTCGTCTCCGAAGAGCTCACCGTGGAGGATGCCCCTCCTGAAGAGTCGACACCTGAGCCTGCACCAGCAGAGCCTGCACCAGCAGAGCCTGCCCCCGAGGAGGCGACTCTGGGTGAAGCTACTCCAGAAGCCACGCCAGAAGATTCCCCAGCAGCCGAGATGCCTTCTGAGGACGCCGTTTCTGAAGAGCCTTCTCCTGAGGAGATTGCCCCTGAAGAGCCTATTCCCGAAGTTGCTCCTGAGGAGGTTGTTTCTGAAGAAGCTGTCCCCGAAGAGCCTGCTTCCGAAGTTGCTGCTCTTGATGAAACCGTCTCTGAAGAACCTATCTCCGAGGAGCCTTCTCCTGAGGCGGCGGATGCCGCGCCTATAGAGGTTGAGGACGCACCTGAAGATACACCGGCGGCCTCCGAAGCCCCCGCCTCAGAAGCTCCTGTCAATACCGATGACACTCCTGAAGACGCCCCTGCAGAGAAACCTGCAGAGCCCGACGCAGCTGAGGAGGCATCAACTCCAGAGGCGGACGCCAATGAGCCCGAAGAAGCAGTACAGATATCGGATGACAAGGCGGAGCCTACTGACAGCGATGAGTCAATTGATAAGGACGCACTCATTGCTGGAGCCGCCGCCGCTGGTGTTGCTGCTGCAGCAGGGTCGGTTGCTGCCAATGCTATCAAAGATTCAGACGACGATGCTACGGCTAGAGAAGCTCCCGGTTCTGCTGCAGCAGACACAATGTCACGTCGCAGCTCATCGGACAAATTGACGCAGACTTTGGATAATATTTCGGCCCTGGACACAATCACCATGGCGGACCAAAAGGACTCGGACGTGGACGCCAACTTCAGCCCCGTGCAGCGAGACGGATTCTCGGACTGCGGAACGCAAACCGATGGCTCAGTATGGGGCCTCCGGCCATCGACTCCCGCTGTGGTTCTCCCCGAGCTTTCCATGTCACCGGCCGCCAAGGATAGGGCGAGGGCTCTCAGACGGCAGCGCAAGGTTTCCATTAAGCAAGCGGAGGAACTCATCGCGGCTGCCGTGGTCATCTACGCCACAGCCGAAACTCTTCGTCCACCCATGAGCCCATCATCTCAGAGCAGCTCGCAACTCATCAAGGCAATGCCCAGCTGGGAGAGAATGGACATCAAACCGAAAAAGGCCTTTTTCTGGAGGGTTCTACCAGGCCTTCTTTCCAGACGCAGGAGTACTACCACTACGGGAGCGGACAAAATTAGCAGGTTTGATACTAACTACTTTACAGAGAAGAAGGAAGCAGAGCGTGAGAGGCACCGACGGCGACGCCATTCCTCAACCCACCATCCTTCATCATTCTCAAGCCGTAGCCGAGGCGAAGACGAGAGGAGAGAACACGAGAGCAGAGAACACGAGAGTAGCAGACGCCACTCGCACACATCACATCACTCAAGTCGACGACACCGAACTGACAGCGAGCGATCCCTCCGATCCGGCGAAGCTATGCCCCGAACTCCACCAGGTCCTCCAAAAAGACAAGACAGCGGGTTCTCCGAAAGCCCCCAAACTCATTCTCAGCACCGTCATCGCAGCGAACGTAGCGAGCGGAGTGCGCGAAGTGAACACAGCGAGAAGACCGAGAGAACTGAGAGAAGTGAGAGAAGCCACCGCCACCGCAGTGAGCGTACGCCTGAAGAGCAGGCTGCCCATGATCGACGCAAGGAGGAGCGGCGACTTGAGAAAGAGCGCGAACGCGATGCCGATCGTGACAGACCGAAAGACAGGCACCGCGAAAAGGAGCGCGAGCGCGAACTACAACGTGAGGTCAACCGCGAGAACGAGGAAAGAGAGCGTCCGCGTCGCAAGGGCAAGGAGCCCGAGACTATCGCCAAACCCGAGGATACGCCGGAGCGCAGTCATCACCGCTCTCGTCGCCACAGTACGTCAGAGCATCAGCGCCCGCACCGCACCCTCAGCAAGAGAGAATCCATGGAGCCCGCGCCAGAGAAGCCTCGGCGATTCTTCAGCGTCAGAGGCGAAGGTACGACTGGATCCAAGTTCCCTCCCCAGGACCCCCCGGCGCCAGCCACGCCAAAGGACGACTTGCCAATGGATGACAATGCAGGACGACAAGAGTCTACTCCCACACGCGACACTCCCAAGCGATCAAGCACAACGCGGGACAAGCACAGGCACAGAGACAGATCCGAAGGCGGAGGTGGTGCCAAACTGCAAAAGGTTCGCGACGAGGTCGCCGAGGAAGCTCGCCGAGAAGCTCGCAGGGCTGCTGAGAAGGCCGAACGGGCTGCCCTAAGAGCAGCTGAAAAGGCCGAAAGAACCGAGAGGGCCGATAGGGGTGATAGGCCTGAGAGATCCGATAGATCTGACAGACCTGAGAGGGCTGAGAGGATCGATACGGCCGACAAGCCAAGATCAAAGCACTCGGACGACTCTCGACGCCGTGCTCGTGAGGAAGTCAGGAGGAGGGATGAAGACAAGGCTAGAGAGAAGGAGAAGGAGAAGTCAAAGGGGATCAAGGGCGTGTTCAAGCGTCTCTTCAACTAATGACTTGGGATGTGCGTGTAATGATTCTACGACGATGAGTGTACGCGGACCATGTGTTTCACGGGAACGGAATTAGACTGTTATGACTTTTGTTGAGATTTTTTGGTTATTTGGGAGGCGTTCACTGAGAATGGCTGGATGATTTCTTGATGATCTTGACGATGGATTCCATTTTTTCTAATGGTTAATCGCTTCATGATTAATGTATTTGAGAACTGAATACTAAGTGTCTGATGAACTTTCTTCAACTCACACTGGGAACGATGCAATGTCTTTCAAATCCATCGTGAGAGAGGGGACAAGAGTTGCGAATGGCGCGAAGTTCTGTGAAAATGGTCCTATCGTGAATCCGCCCGTCGGGCTTTCTGGGTGATATTTCCGTCTTGAGTCCGTTGGCGCGCAAGCGGGATGTGGGTTTCTACCGTTCTCGTGAGTTTTTCCCTGTATACTAACTAGCCTGGGCAAATGTCTCGGCCGAGTGAGGTCGCGATATCCCGTCTATCCGCGTGAAAACGTTCTCTGGTGTTGCATCTAACTAGAGAAGTCAATTCGAATTACATTAGAGGTGATTGAAACTATTGAACCTTGTTCAGATGAGCCATCTTGATACTTTTCGATTCAATGTTGAGGTTGTTTCCCTCCGTCTTCACACCGCGGATGTGATACCTAGTGCTCAGGGGTTGATAGGCTCGGGATGCGGATTGTGGGTTTCCGCCCCGCGTTCCCTGAGGTAGTGTGTCCTTGGTAAAATGTATGCCTACCTCTTCTCTCTCCAACCTCGAGCAACTCTCTTTTTTCACATGTGAAACTCTTGATATGACCGCAGTCTACTCTTCACCATGCTTCCCAGCCTTATCTTCTCTGCCCTCCGCAATCTACCTTTCCGCCTGCGAATACTCCGTAAAGTTTCCAGTCCAAAAGACCCGGACACGGAGGGCGCGCCTCCCGGATTGTGGGGCCCAATCCCCTCCCCGCCCGTACCTTACCCCCGCCAGCCCGAACGGCCCGCTAGCGGCACTCTTTTCCCACCTCCCCCTTGCCCCCCCCCCCCCCTCCTTCCCCCTTCCTTAGTCCTAGTAGTTCCTGACGATCTTTTCCTCCAAAAAACCAACCACACAACAATAGCAAGAAAGCAAAAATCAAGGAAAAACAAGATCTGGTGACGAAGATGTTTAGTCCATTTGAAGAAGGTCGGTTGGCTAAAAGTACTTGATTTAAACTCACCTCCGTTTTGTTTTCTGCACGCACCAGCCACCCCAGTCATGTGGCACGGGAGGTGCTTACCTTACCATACCATACCTTTATGTTTCTTAACCCCCGGGAAAGGGCGGTCCGCGGGACACATGTCCCGGGATGTGGGGTTTCCCCAGTAGAACGACGTCCGTTGACCGCCGGTTCAAGCCTTCAAGGTTTCTATCTCTTTACTGTGTAACCGTAACTTTCCTCTCGTCTTTCTCGCTCTCATTCCTCTCTCTGGCTGGCTTCTCTTGTCTGTATTTTAGGCGGCAGGGACGTCTGGGGTCAATCGCCCGTCACCCACTGGCTGCGCATACTTGACGCTTCTCTGAGGCACGTAGGCGCTCGAGGGTGAGAATTGTAAAAAGACAGGTAGATAGATACAGAGAGTGTGTGTATGTGCGCCTACATGAGCTGTGTCAAGGTAGTGCGTGCGTGCGTGTATGTGTGTGTGCGCCATGTTAGGCCTCACTGCCTCGATCATCGACGAAGATGCATCTCGGCTCGCAGGACTTCCCAAGATCTCGTAAATCCCAAGCAATGAAAACCCTCAAAAGCCGATAACCACTTCTCGATGAAACTCCCACAGTTCAAACGCTGACTGGTCCCTCGTTTACGGATGACTCGGTTGTTATCGCTGGGTCTCGTGTCTCGTTCAGCTCATTTAAACTACGTACGCGTCCCTCCCCGCCTCGGTTGCTGCCGCCAGGGCCGACAAGGTTACAAAATGAAAAAAGGCTTGTTTTCTATCCAAGGGTTCTGGATACAAGGCATTTGGGTGAAGAGAATCTATCTTTACCCGGCATGGATAACGAAGTAGCGCCTCAAGCCCTATTTTCAAGCGTCAAGCGATGCATGGGTTGTATGGGTTTCTGTTAGTCTTGTTTGTCGGCTATCCAGGCTGCAGCCTTGCACTGGGGACGGACTGTGAGAGGTACGGATGGTCACGCGGACACAGGAAACCGATAATTTGGTGCTTCTGCATGTTACATGTGCATTACCTCTCTGCTCACCCCAGTTTGACACCGGAGAAGCATTACCTATTCAGGCCCCGTTGCCTATCTGCGGACTGCTTGAAAGTTTTTCTGCCCTCTCGAGTCTGTTCGCCTTTCATAGTGGAGTATCCTGCGAGTATTTACGCGAGGACCATGGCAGTTTGGCAGATAGGCAGACAGAACCGAGGCGTGTCAACGTGGGTTTCGATTTCCACTTTCCAAGGAGCTGGAAGTCGTCAGATTTTCTGCCCAAGGCTCCGGACGTCGTTGTCGGAAACCCTTGTTCGACATATCCCCATTGGACCGCTTGAAACTATCTTCGCAGCTTGTCATCGTGTAAGGCGCAATCTTTGTCAGACTTCTTGCCCTTGCCTTGCGGATTTAATATATCCAGTCAAGCTACAAGCATACCTGCAGACACTGCCGCGATGAACCGAACCAGACGTGGGCTCCCTTGTTCCTGGACTATCTTCTTAACGCCGTTGTCCGCAGTCTGTAAGCTGACGCCCCTCAAGAGTCTGCAGCGGAAATATGTAACCCCTTCTCGGCTTTCATCTGTTTTCATTTGACCGTTGTTTTGGAATCAGGCCTGTCAAATGTCATGTTCATGTCAGTCTGTACTTACAGGGCAGGGGACAACAATAGGTGTGGCGTACAGAGACTGATATGGGTATCTGCTCGGCCCGCTTAGCCTTAGATGAAGAGCCACGCCCCGAAAACGCGTATGTCCAAATATTGTTCTGACGCCTGCGTGTCTCCGCAAGGGGAACGAACGCGAGGGGTGTAGGGAAAGGGTACGGATAGTGTAAGACGACACCGCCCTAAATCTTTCAGCCTTTGGTGATCGGCCATCGCGATGTCGAATTTGAGCAGCCATCAGCTTTAGATGCATCATATCCCCTGCTAAGAGCTCTTGCGGGCGGTCCCGCCATCCCGTGAGGCCGAGGGCGCCGTACAAGTCTATTCCTTTCGGCCTGGTCCGGATCATCCTCAGCACCCCTCTTCCCGCCCTTTTCAGCTGCCCCCCTCGAAAAGCATATCGAATATCGAGCCTTGCCCTGGACGTATGGACGCGTGTACACACCGGGTAGTCAACCTTGTTTGGGAGCAGTAGCCAGTATGTTGCTATCGTGAGAAACTATCAGCTGTCAGTTTCCGGTGTGAGTTCCTGCGTCTCTTGGCAGAAAAAAGGTTGTCTGCATGGCGGGAACCGCGGATGAGAATGGAGGGGTCCTCCAGAAACTCGCCTATCCAGCTTTGACAACCGACGATAGCGGGGCAAGACCGAAGTACCACCTAAGCACCAAAGCAAGAGACGAGGACATTGAAGGTGACAGTCGATACTTCAGATGCGCGTTTTTGATTTACGAGCCTTGGAGTTTTGAAATGGTTGTCTAATTCACCGTAGCCGCCCGATCCTTGAGTCAGCTGCTAGCGCAAGGCCTCGCTTCTTCTCTAGTTTCTGCGTCGGCATATCGGAGAAGTGGCTGAATCCGTCTTCGTGATATTCAATGCGATTTGTTATAGCGTCATCGCATTGTATTCCCTGCCGCCCATTACGATGAAAAGCAAAAGAGTCGGGTGGAGAAGCCGTTAGCTTGACTAGCTCGTGCTATCACGGGCACCTCGCAACTCTCGTAAACGCAGTTGTCTAACACCCATGCCGCTTACGAAGGGTAAAAAAGTGAAAAAGTTGTCTATTTTCAATTCGTATTTGACTCATGCGGCTCGTGCGGATGCTCCCGTAAAGTCAAAATTGGAGCAAAGAGCAAGCGGGGTGCAGTTGTGCCAAGACCGTGGAGCACGGGGCGGGATGTCTCGGTGAACGATCATGGCCCGAGGCCGAAGATCCGCCAAGTCGATGGTTATGGCCGGAACACACGGACCAAGACTTGTTGGTGGCCGAAGGCCGTGATGAGAGCACACGGAAATTTTGATTGTGGGCCTGACTATCCTGTGATAGTGACTGCTTCGCATTAGGATATTGTGATGGAGAAACCCAAGAGGTTGCTTAGATGGTCTGCTGCAGGTGTACGGGTTGCGGGCGTGTCAGGAGTCAAGAGCATAGTATTCGATCCAGGGGAAACGGCGGTGAAAGCAAGTGATCGTATACATTGCGTCTGGGCCGTATTCGCCGAGTCCTACCACAAAGACAGCGCTTCTTTGAGGTAGTAGACGCTGGGACGTGATTCGGTTCGGCAGATGAAATATTGGCCCATGGACTCCCTGAGCTCTGCAGATGTCTGAATCATTCGCTCTTCTCACTTGAGCAAAGGAAGCCAGCCGTTATGTGGCCGGCATGTGGCCTATACTACTAGGTTAGAGTTCCTATACTATCGTATCAGTGGATCGAGTGTGTGAATGTTCGGCATGAACCTCGAAGAGGCGGCAGGCATTCCAGAGAGTCTAAGGATTAAGCATATACACTGTTGCTTTTTGGGAGCTCGCAATCCCCCCATAAAGGAATTTCGGGAGCAACCGATAAAGTACATACCAACGAACGGCGAGCAATGACCCGTCGAGCTGAACTCTGGAAGAAGGTTATCTCGAAGGGGGGTATAGAGGGGCAGAGGCGAAATTTGATGCGAGCGACTTCGGCAGCACCGTGATGGAGAGGTTGGAGATGCCAAGACTTTATTGCCTATTCCGGCCATGGTAGACGAACAAAAATGGAGATTCGGCGATGGCAGCGAATCTCCGGATGACGGTACGGTGTTATCGGCGAGATGATGTTACTTGATGGTGACATGTTCTCGCTGTTCTGAGGTGGTTCTGAAGTGGTTGAAGCTGGATGATGGCGGGTTCAAGGAAGATAGCAGAGTGTCGTTCCGTTGATGAGGTGAAGTTTGCTGCAAGCGGCGATGTTGTCGTTACACTGGGCAACCCGCGGATTGAATCCCGCGAGA